GGGAAGGAAAGGAAAGGAAAGGAAAGGAAAGGAAAGGAAAGGAAAGGAAAGGAAAGGAAAGGAAAGGAAAGGAAAGGAAGGGAAGGGAAAGGAAAAGGAAAGGAAAGGAAGGGAAAGGAAAAGGAAAAGGAAAAGGAAAAGGAAACAAAGAATAGAATGATCCAAAAAAGATTCAGAGGAGACCTTAAGCAGTAGATAACAGGTTTGCAGTCCCTACAAGAGGTAAAAAGAGAAATACCCACAGGAAAGAGAAAATGCAGGTACTGCCCATACACTGTGGCTCCTCTCCCATCCGCAGCAAAGAATATTATAAAACTTGCAAAAGAAAACCAAATACATGCATCTTCAGAAAAATTAATAAGCTACAAAATAGATTTAGTTTCTAAACCTACAGTAGCTCGTCCAAGTAGGAAGAGGCAGAGAAAACTAAGCAGCTCTTCCAGCTCTCATGAACATATAGAGAAAGGCCCCATCAAGTCAAAATCAGACTGTTTCTTTGCAATTACAGTATAGCGGAATTTCTACTGCTTTTTCATACATTGGCTCAAACCCCTCTGGAGAAAGGAAGGGTAAGGAGTATTCCTATTTTTCAGATGAAGGGAAAGAAGTGCAGAGATTCCACTTTCAAAATGTGACAGAGAGCAGCATTCATTAAACAAAAGTTTTCTTGAATGTTAAGTTACTTGGGTCATGGATCCAAAAGGGAAGGGAGGCAATGACCTTTTATTTAGGCATCACCGTGTTATGATGCTCCAGTTTCACAAGGGACTGTGAACTCAGCCAGAGGCTACTGAGGCCCCTGGGTCCAATATAACTGGCTCTGCAGAGCTGTCACACTGTCACTCATCAGCAAGAACTCGATCAACCTGCTGCCTCCACAGCGAGACCAAAGCTGGGCTGAGAGATGAGGGCTTCACAGGACCCACGGACAGTCAGGCAGCTCTCTCTTCCTAAATGTGCTGGGGTCCCTCCCTCCTGCCAGCCCCACTAACACCCAGCAGCTTGTACCAGCTTGCTCTTCTGTGTAACACTCTTCACCTACAATGTACTTATCGAAATCCATCACTGGTTTTAATAAGAAAAAGCAGTAGCTGGCATGGCCCATTAGGTTATAAAGTGTCACCCTTACCGAGCTGCTTGGGACAAACACAATCCTGCCTGCTTTGGGTCCCACAGATACATTTTAAATGAATTTGCCCAAGAATAAAGTTTTTTTTATTTTAAAGATGTAAGAACCACAACTCTAGCATCTTGCCCTCCCACACACAACCACAAAAAAAAAAAATCTACACTATATGGCTAAAGGACTAGAAAGAACTTCTCTCCTAAGATGTTAAGTTCCTTGGGGTTGGGTTATTTAAATTTTTATTTACACTTCACTTATTTGTAATGATTGGCAGAAAATAAATACTAAATACAGTGTGCCTGTATTTGAGTGTGTGGTTTGTAACTTTATTGTGTACCCTGAATCTATACAGACATAAGGGGGTAATAGGAAAATATTCCCTTAAAACCACTTCCTAGTTTAGGCCAACTTGGGAAAAGATAACAAAATAGTATTCAGAGGCCTCATGTCAGAGGTTAGTCATGAAGCTTAATATCTGCTGGAGAAGAGCTGAGAGAACACGTCTAACATAGCCTGCCCACAACTCTTGGGATTTAAAGCCCAATGTCAGCAGGTAACTTCAAAGTGTGTCGCCAGGCTTTTGTATCTGTGTTTTATTTTTCTCCTACCAAAAAAATAAGACATTAATTTGCAAATAGTCTCACTGGTTACTATATACATCTGGGGGGGAGGGAATATTTTGGAGGTCTTTAGAAAAATAAAAGCTTTCTTTTTCATTAGTTGGTATCTATATACATAATATTCAAAATAAAAACTTCTTTGACTCTTCAGAACACTGCAGTGGAAAAAATATGGAAAAAAAATTCCAATCAAGAAAGAACTTACTACATGCAGAATGCCAAACAGGCAAAAAAATGCCAAACAGGAAAATGCCAAACAGGAAAAAAAATTCCAATCAAGAAAGAACTTACTAGATGCAGAATGCTAAACAGGCATGTTTATGTATATTAACCTAGTAAAATTCTAGGGCATATTTTCAAGTGAGAAAACAGGTTGCATAGTAATAGACATTGCTTTTGAACCCTTATATTATGTAAAAATATATGTATATTAGCATAGAAAATTTGGCAGGGATTCACATGAAACCATTGAGCAAGGATTCACATTGTGTAATTCACACAGCCGAGGTAAGAGAGTGCAGGACTTGTCTTCAATACCAGTGTATATCTATAGTTTGCCTTGTTAGAAAAAAATGATTTCCAATGATAACTAAAAACTCTAAGTGGCAAGAAATATGATAAATGTAAAAATTCAGTTTGTCCCATTGCAAACCTAAATATTGGGGAAGTGTGATTGCTTAATTTCTAAATGGTAATAACTCAGCCTATTAAAAGGCTGTCTGTGATCCTTAGAGCATTTTAGGACTTCCTGCTTTGCCATTCACCTTTACATTTCATTTTCCAAACCCCTCTGTAAATGAGTAATGTTATACCCATTTTATGTATAAGAAAAATGTGTTTGACAAAAGGAGGTAAATATTCCAGATCACGCTGCGTATTATTAGTAAACGGGAGTCAGAATTCAAACCCAAAGCTCTCTGGAACCAAATCCAATTTTCTTACTCAATATACTTTTCTGTTTTCCAGGTAGAAGCCTGATGCCTGGGTTCCTAAGCACAGATCCTCCTCCAGAATTCTTTCCCCTTGGGCTTGGTTAGAATACCTGAGCTCACCTGGAAAGCATTGAGCAAAGAGAAAATGATGTGGAAGGCCAGCGAGCTGTCATCAGTGAGTGTGGCGATCCCAAAGCCCCAGGTCAGTCCCAGCAGCGGTGTGAGGATAGCAATATTCTTGCAGATTCTTACGATGGCTCGCACTTCCTGAAATATGGAGCTGCCAAAGGAAACTCGCTGGGCCTTGCTGATGACCACTGTGATGACCACCAAGTTTACTACCACGATGGCCAGAGCCGGGACCACGAAGGCCAGGAGGGCCTTGGTCATCTCCCAGTTAAGCCAGCAAGCATCGGCCCTGAGGTAGCCTCTGGCAGGTTCAGTGACACCAACTGTGATAACAGCAATGACCAAAGGGCACCCGTAGCCCACTGAAAAGAGAGAAGCCACCAGGACTGACTTCGGCAGAGTGTGGAAAACAATCAGAACTCCATGCAGGATGAGGAGTGCCTTGGCAAGCATCCAGAAAAACACAGAAAGATAAAAGAAGTGAATGAAAAATGTCACTGCCACACATCCACGGTAGTGTGTCTCAGGACCACTAATAAAGGAAGCCACGATGAAGAGCACATCTGCCATCAGTAAGGTGGCCGCCACGTTGGCAATGCACAGGTGACGTAAATAGGAGATTTCTGTCTTCGTCACTTGACGCCAGGCCAGACCCTCAATGACCAAGCAAATAATCAAGCTGCAAATCGAAAGGCCCAAGCCTGTGTAGGTGATATAAGTCAGAATGGGGCTTGCCAGGGTATGGCGTGACATAAGGATGGAGAAAGAGGTGAACAGCTTGCTTGGCCAACATTGGCAGACAGCGTGCTGGGAGCTCACTTCAACCATCTGACAGGCCTTGCGATCCCATCTGTTCTCCAGGTGGTCCCAGCCTACACAGTGGGTCTTCCTCTCCTCTGATTTGTGGAACTTTTCAAAATGCAATGAGATTCTTTTAAGTTTCTCAGGCAAGATGACAGACAAGACAAGGCCATTCACAATGATATTTTCCAAAAGACTGGCCTCCAAGATAGCCCCGAGCGTAGGAAAGGCAATGCAGACCATCTGAGAAATGGAAGGCACTGTCTGCAGCTCCTCTCTGCTGATAAGGACCCTGCCCATGACTGGCCTGCTGGTCTCATTAACGCTCATGAAGAAAGTGAAATTCTTCCCCTCACTGTCAGCAGGTATGATGGAGCCCATGGTGTGGATGAAGGAGTGCTGTATGTTGATGGGCTTCTTGTGTATGTGTAGCTTTCTTGCGAAAGAGTTGACTGAGTGGAGCAGGACACTGCAGCTGTTTCTTTCAGGAATGAAGGTCCAATTTGAGATGCTATTGCTGTTCAGAACGTGGTTAGCCATGGAGCTGTAACTCTGCCAATAGAAAACTGGCATTACTTCTGAGCTGCTCTCTGAAACCACCCACACATTTGACATCGACTTGCAAAGAGTGGGCCTCAAACCAGCAATGTAAGCCTCCCCAGAGAGGTTCCGAGAGGCCCACAGACTCAGGCCCATCTAACACTTATGAACCAGAACCAACAACTTCAGGAGACCCTGGGTGATGGGCATGCACAGTAAAGCTTGAGTCGGGGGACAGCTAGATGGGAACAGCTGAGCAGCAGGCAGCCTCAGGGCTCGTTTCTATCCTTAGTCCCACGTCACTCCCGGGAACCCCTGCAGAGTACCTCCCTATCCCCTCAGAGTGCCCAGCAGGTAACCCACAGGAGCACACTAGGGTAGAAGCAGAGATGCAATCTGCCCTCTGCTTCAAACATCAAAACCAAAGCAATGGATGCGGTTCCACTGCCCATTTCTGCAGCAGGAATTATGGCCATTTCCTTTGCAGCCAGTTATTCTCCCTTCTAACAACTTCTAACTCCCAGCTAAAAGTGAGAAAAGCTTTTTTCTCTGCAGGATCTAGAATTTCTACTAGAGGTTTTCAGCAGCAAAAACAGACATTAGAGAAGCAGACGCCAGCTTCTACCATGCATTCTGTAAGTGTGTACTGATTCAGTGTGTTCATTTCTTCCCTTTCATTCTTTCTTGGTGAAATGTGTGGCGTACGTGCCAGGTTAGACGCTGGAAATAATGAGTGAAAGACACAGTCCCTGATCTCCAAGGGGCTCAGAGAGAGAGTCCCAGCTGACCCAAATTCCTCTCCCACAGAGAGGATACCCTGCCACACACCCAAGGCCACTCACTTTCATCTTCCCCTCATCCACATCTGTCATGGGCGCTGTGGATATGTTGTGTAAGAGCTGCACGATGAGCTCGATGTTTCCGGGTAGTTGGGGCGACTGCTCGATTTTCCTGGTCACACAGGACAGATCACGGGGGCACTCCTGCATCACTCTGAGGGCTATGGTCTCTGACTCGCCAGCATACTTGTTGTAACCCGTATCTTCAAAGTAGCTGACTGTCTGTGACTTATCCTAAGATGTGGCCAAAACAGACACACTTACTTACGATGGCACATTTATGTTAAATGTCAAAGCACTTTTATCAAGAAGGCAGCCTTATTATACAATAGTATCTTGAAGGAAGTCTCTCTGTTTTCCATTTTCTAGTGCAACTTGAGTTTATCTTCCCCGTTCCCCACAGCCAGTGCTTGAGACAAAAACATATCATAAAAACAGAAACTCTGGACTGGATCCGGGAGAAACAGCTAGGAACACCAAGAGAGAAGGTTGTTCCTGGCCAGATGTCAGAAACTGCCTGGTGTTACATGTGCGGAGACAGAGCAGAGTGTCGTCCCCGCACCCCGAGTCACACACAGAGGCTAAAGTATGAGGTTCCTGAGACAGAGACGCCATGATCTCTGGTAAGGGAAGCCCTCCCAGAAAGGAGGAACAGGAGCAAAGGGAGGAGAAACAGCACTTGACCTGATCTTATCTGTGGTGATTTAACAAGAAAATATGTAATTACTTAAGTATGTATGGAAATATGTCAGTGTGATGATATGGTTCTTTGTTCTTCTTCTCACGCCTTAACGAGAACAGGAATCGTGCGGAGATCTTGACAGAGCAGAGGTTCTGGGTCACCAGGTCTGGGTGGGCCCAACTCTGCAGGTCTAAGGAGTTGTCAGGGATGCCGCTGGCCAGGGAGGGCCAGGCTGAATATCAGAGCTTTGGGGTTAAGAGGCAGAGAGCAAACATGCAGCAATTCCCAGGGACGGCTCTAGGCCCCTCCTCCAGCTCCGACCCGAATGATCTAAACTAGATTTGGAGGAAACAACTAGAATATTGAGGTAGAAAAATGACTAAACTTAGTAACTGGCTGAGTCCCCACCCATCCAGCCTGAGTTTCCTGCTAGAGTAGAAACAGCCTCACTGAAGCTCCACGTCCTCGTTGTTCCCACTGTGGAAGGGCGTGGGGCCTGGAGCTCAAGCCCCCAGATGCCTAGAGCTAAGAGAGGAGAGGGAAGGCTTTTGCTGCTCTTCCTCGCACTCCTCCTCCCCAGTCCAGTACACTGCCCTGTTGAGCGGAGGCTCGCTTTGCCCCTAGAGCCTTGTGAGAGAAAGGACCTTACCTCAAAGATGTTGTGAGCATTCAGGGTACGGCAGGTATCATTGATCTTGTGCCATTGCCGCTTCCTGCAGGCAAACCCCATGCTCCCTTCAGTGCTTGGTGGGCACAGCTGGCTGCATAGGGAACCTGCCTCACACACACCTACGCACACCTCTGGGAAGAGAGAAAAGGAAAACCCTGAGCCCCACGCCAAACAGAGATAATCGCCCAGGTGTCGTTATGATAGGGGACAGAAATCCTGTAGACATTGCGACATCAGGGACCTCTCCTTTGTAAAGTGGCAGATGATTAACATGGATCTGTGGTCATCCCACGTGGCAGCCACAAACCCCTACCATCCCCAGAAGAATCCTAGCCTGAGGCCCAGTGTGTGAAATAGGTAAGAGTGCACCTGCTCCAGTAGAAGTGGACAGGAAGAGCCCACAGCTCCATTGCCCGGGCCATTCTCACAGTCACAGAAGCCCATGGCCCAAGAGCTCCCTAGGTCACCTCTGGCTGGAGTCCACTTCCCTGTGCTCCCAAAGTAGCAGATAAGTCACATCCTCCATGCATCCTCAGAGACCTGCTCTGCCCACTGCAACAGCCCAGGTTAGCGCCATGCGAAGAATCCAGCAGATAGTGCATTGGGCAAAGGGTGCAGCAGGGGAAGAAACAAGAGGTGAGAACACAGTTTCACTTAGGGAAAAGAATCCAAGTCCAAGCAAAAGCCACAATGCCACGCCATCATCAACTGCTCAAGAAACAGGGCTAGGGACAGTCTGCTGCTATGATGCACACAGCCTCTGCCAGGGCTAGCTGCTGCCAACGTACCCCTTGGCCTGGAAGACCCCTCCTCCTTGCTGTTTCTGGCAGCCTGAAAGAGAAAATCAAGATTCACATCACCATCGATTGTCCAGATGCCTCCCCAGCAGTTCATTTTAATCACAGACTAATAACCACGTCTGGATCAGCTGTGGGCCAGCCTGGCTGTCACAGTGACCCCTTGATGCCTGCAGCTCCTCCTCTCTCCAGTGAGAATGGTCTGTGTTCTGCCTAAGAAACACATTATGGGCAGGGCAGATTTCCCAGGAGGCTAGGAAGTTTGGTTCTCCATGTGTGGACCTCTCTGAATCCTCTGAACACACTCATGTGATCCCATCTAGTAAATTTTCAAAAGCAAAATACTTTAACGCTTTCATCCCTTTATACTGTTATTTTTGCCATTCCATATCACTGCTCACGCTCCCACTGGGGTGTCACCAGGGAAGTGGATCTGTCCGTGGGATCTGGACAAGGAGTCCACTCGAGGATGCAGTTGGTTTGGATTTAATCAGATGTACTTTGGCAATTTGTAGCCATGTTCCCATTACAACAAGCACAATCATACGAAAGTAGCACCAGTTCCGAGAGAGTTTACCAATAGTCACAGAATGAGACAGCTGTAAGCTCCCTGACATCCTGCCACTCACACACACCATAACCGTGTGTGACAGAGGCCTCCCCAAACTTAGCTACACCCCTGTATATCTACATAGCATTATGAGTGAAGAATGGAAAAACCAAACGTTGTTCTGCAAAAGCAGGAACACTAGGAAAACAATTTGCCCAGCAATGCTGGAGGAAAGACTGACTAATCATCTGATCCTACTTATAAGAAATTATAAGAGCATTAGCTTGCAAGTATGCAACCAAAATGTAGGAGCAAATATAGGGCAGTTCGTTCATAAAAAATGTCATTGTTTGCTTGAATGTGTTGCTGAATGACTGAGTAATTATAAGGTACAAAATTCCCATCATTTGTAGATTTGAAATCTGTTGTGATCACTTTTTCCATTCTCAAGAAATATTCACTCTCCTTTAATTTTGTATTTTAGTTTTATCATTTTCCAGAGTGCTTCCCCCAAGCCTGGCAGCCACATCCTGAGCAGCCCCCTCTTCTGCCCCACCCATCCACACACATCTGACTCCTACTGGGCAAGTGGCTTGCTGACTTCAGGGCTGTCCCTGGGAGCAGCCACCTGGCTTGATTTCCCACACTGCCACTTGAGGAAGAGCTTCATCTCTCTGAGCCTCAGTTTCCCCTTCTGTCTGCACAATAGGAGTGACAGTGCTAACTGTATGACACATATCCCAGAGCAGGTTATGAGCAGAAGGAGCTCATCTGTAGAAAACTCTTAGAACAGTTCTGGACAGTGCAGGTGCTGTTTAAGATTCAACTATATGGCCTTTGGGCTGGCCTCTAGCCATGCAGGCACCCAGGAGGCGGGCAGTTGGTGCCCAGGAAGCTTTGCAGTGGGGAGCACCAGCCTTTTGGCCGGACCCTAGCTGTGCAGGTGCCTGGGAGGTGGGCAGCTGGTGCCTGGGAAGCTGCGTGGCGGCATGTGCTGGTGCGTGCCAGCCCTCAACCCAACCACCACTGCACGGTCCAGAACTATCATGGCACAGAGAAGCAATGACACAATTGGCCTCCACACACTGGCCATGGAGGCCCACCCGGGGACGTGTGTGAATCATTCTGACATGGAGAAACCCCTGGAAATACATGTCACAATGGGTGGCTCTTGCCCCTGATGTTGAGAACCAGAAAAGTCCAGAGTCAGTGGAGGGGCAGCTGCTGAACAAGGACTCAGAGAACACAAAAATACAGGATACACCTGAAGACTCAGAGGTCTAGTTGACCAGGGTCATGAGAGCCATTCAGAAGCTGGAAACCAGGAGGACCTTGCACAATGCAATACCTGGTCTGAGAGAACCCCTGGAAGCCATTCTTCCCCTGACAGTACAGGCTGTGGTGGAGGAGCACTTTGAGTTTCGGAGAGGTCTGCACTGAGATTCCTGCTGCCTGTGCTGACAGTTGGGGAGAGGACACTAAGTGGTTGTGGGGTCCCACTGCGCTGGGAGGCTAGAGAGAAAAAGCTACAAAAAATGGCTTTCGCCCCAGGTGGCTCACTTGAGATGTTAGTAAGAATTGCCTCCTCAGTATTCTATAGTTGTGATGAGGAGGAGGCCAAGGAGAGAAAACAAAGGGACCGAGAAAAAGTAGCTGCTTTTGCTGCAGCACTAAGAGAAACAGACCCTAAGTCTGATTCTCAGGGCCCCAAGAATAACTTGACAACTACATTCATCTGCTACCACTGTTAAAAGCCAGGCCACCTTAAGAGGAACTTCCCTAAGAGGCCCCCTGGGCCATGCCCTAAATGCAAAGGTGACCACTGGAGATCAGTCTGCCCTCTGAAGCAGAGGCCCCAGGGCTCAGACACATCCTACCAGTTAGTCCAACAGGAATGAGAGGGCCTGGGCATATTCTGCCTTCTCCCTCTGGTCAGACTGTCATCTCCATGGAGGAGCCCCGGGTAATCATGACTATAGAGAAAAAAGAAAACAGCCTGTTGCTAGACACAGATGCAAGTCTCTCGGTCCTTCTTTTCAGTCCTGGCCTTCCTTCCAGCCATCACACCTCAGTGAAAAGAGTCACTAGTGAGGAGGCAATATGCTCACAACCCTTAGGCTGTAACTATTTGTTAGATCTTTCTGCGTATCTCTGTCTTCCTGAGAAACCACTCTGAAGATACCACCATGTGTTACAGCAGCCATTGATATTTTACTACTAATCTGTCCGTAACTCTGTAATGTCTGTATTGTTCCTATGCTATTTCATAAATGGATGTATGTTTATTACTATGTGTTTCCTACAACAACCATTGAGAATAGTCAATGAATATTCAATTGGTCACTCATGTATAACTCTATTTATTTTCCTTAGAAACAACTTTGAAGATACCAAAGTATAGTACAACAACCATTGATAATCTCCTACCTCTCCTTCCACTTTTGTCTGTAACTCCCTATTATTTGTCTATTTGTTTTCCTGAGAAACTATCTTGTAGATACCAATATGTAAAATGATAACCATTGATAATTTCCTACCACTTTCTCTGTAATTTAGTAAGCCTCCCTATTACTATGTTATCCTTCTTTTACTCTTTAAAATAAAAAAAAAAAAAAGATTCAACTATATGAATACTGATCCCAGACAGAATCGAGTGTCCCTGCAGAATTTATCATCAGACCACACACAACACAGTCAGGGCTTGGCATAGACTCATCTGACCTACTGTCTTGCTAGCTAACCATTTTTTATAAAACCATGCTACCTTCTCAATTAAATTAACCTAATTCCCTAAGGAATATAGATTGTGCTGGATTCTGCCCCCCTAAGTGGCTAGCTGAGTGTCTTCTACATATACCTATAAAGATTAATATTGTGTGTAGACTGACCATATAGGCAAGCCTGCACATGAGAGTTGGAAGATAGGAAGACAAGCTGGATCTTCCTGTTTCTGCACAAGCAGAGTGCCCTCTAGTGGCCTGGAGAGCCACCCAACTTGCATTCCAAGATCTCAGCTGTTGGGAAAGAGATTAGCAATTTAATGACCCAATTGTGTGACTAACACTTGGGGTTTGTGTCCCTTTCTCCTTAGCAATATGGCTTCTCCCTACATCCTTAAGAAACAAGGCTCAATACTCCCTGTATTCTTTGCCATATAAGAACTTACCGGGAATCTGAACTGAGCATGTGGGGAATCTCCAAGCTCAAAAAGGGATCCCTGAGGACTCATGGAACAGAATACCCTTGAAATCACTGATGTAAGATAGCATTTCATTGAGAAAACAAAGCCTTGTTATATAAGCAGAGAGTGAAAGTCCCTCCATGAAGCCAGAGTGCGGAAGTACTTTGACGTTTTGGAAGATTTTATAGATCACCTACTCCCACCCCCGTATCTGTGACAGCAAATTGAGTTCTTCATAGAGGAGATGATCTATCCAGGACCATGCAGCTGAGACTGAAACTTTGTTCCCTCCTACAACAGTACTTATCCAAACCCCAGCTCACGTTTAGGGACACCAAGCAGAGGGGACGTGTACTCAAGGTGCCTGAGCCCATCTGCACAGGGCCATGTCTCCAGTACACCACAGCAAATGCACGAAGGAGTGCTCAACTTCAGGTGATACTCAGCCATTAAACAAAGCTGGATGAATTCCAGTTACGTTAATCAGGGGCGTGGGCAAAGCATGGGCGCAAGGCAAAAGGCTACGTTTACAAGGAGCTCTGGAAAATCTGCCTTCTACAGTGAAGGACCCTATCTGCATCTTCCCGGCCAATTTTCCAAAGCACATCATGGATGCTCCTGGGGGGTGGCATTCAGGAGAGGAGATTTTCTGTCAGATTCCAGGAGCTCTGACCTAATCCTGTGAAAGGACTGTAGCAACCAACAGCCTGCTGGACCTGCTGAGCAGCCGGGTGCAAAGGCTGGGCAGGAAAGTGCTGGCACCCTCAGCTCACCTTCCAAAGTGTGTAGGTGGGAATAAAAGCACGGGACATTCCTGTGAGGTGACCCCATCATCAAATAATGCAAAGGCCACCTCCCATGCTCTGCCTACACTCCACATTCTGCCTCATACAAAAACGTGCACAAAAAGATGGAATTCAAGGGGAGACAGCACCAGCTATAGGGTTGAGATGCCTACAGAAAAGTCTTCCCAAAGTCTCTAACTTCACCCAAGAGCCAGACACCAGGTTAGGGTAGGGGAGGAGGGCAGACACAGAACTGATTCCCTTCCAAGGGCAAACTAATCAGAGGGTGAAGAAACTATTATTGTGAAAACCTCTTCCAAAGTCATTTTTCCTAAGGAGTCTTGTTAAAAAAAGGAACACACTAAAAAATAAAGAGCAAGGAGATGTTAAGACAGGTGCTCTAGCTTTGACCCTCTGGTTGTGCGGCTACGTATGCAGGTTCATCACTCTATAGCCCTGGCCATGGTCTCCATCTCCAAAGTGAGATCTTATTTTTATGCTTTCTTTCTCCCAATGCCCCTCCACACCTTATTTTAAATAAGTCACTAACAGAGAAATTAAAATGACTCATGGTCTGAGGGAAAATACTCCAGGGAAAGTCACAGGGCTCACTGCCCACAGAAGTTACAACAGTACATTGGTACCAAAGCCACCGCGCTAGACCTCACTTAGCCATTGACTGGCTCTTGCTCTGTCAGCCCGTCTCTGGTGTTCACTCCAAGGATCCTCAAAGGAGATGCTCTCCCTACTTTGAATGGGACGATTCTTTGTGGTACAAAACCATGTTAGGCTCTGCCCACTAAAGGTCACATAGGCTTAGATTTTCTAATGCCCCTCAGGAAATAGCACCACCCCTGGGTGTGAGCTATGGGGTATGAGCTATGGAAAGCTTCATGTCCCAAGAGTACAGAAAGAAGACCTTGTTACCCTCGACTTACTTCAGCCACCTTGCATTTCAAACTTTAAAAGGAAAAACTAATGGGAAAATCAATTATAGCTTTCAAGTAATGCAAGTTTTTGCTGTCTAGAGCTGCAGTTTCTTCTGACAGGGCCGATCACTGTCACCATCTTCAGCTCCCAACCCCTTTCTCTAGGACCCGGAGCTGGTCAACTCAGAGTCCACTGTCCACGCACTGTCCCCACCTGTTCAGCTCCCACTTACCTGACACAGTGTCCGACAAGACACTGTGGGCTGAAGAAACCCCAGGCAGCATAATAAAAGGGCACAAGGCTTCATCTTCCACATGGCTGAAGTTCTTGCTTCTATAAAAATAAACAAAAAGCAAAATGTCTCTATTCAGAAGCCCTCACGATGCCATGATCCCGGCAGGCCGTGCAAATGGGCTGTGTCCCCGTCTGTCTGCTGAGACGTCCCTGCCTGCAGTGATGCTGTGTGTCTCCAGCCATTCACCAGGTGCTGCAGGTGTCAGTGCCAGCTCACGCTGGAGGCGACTCCAATCAGCTCGCATGCCACACCTAACGCAGGAATCCTGCCAGAGGAAGCACCCTGGCCCATTCCAGCTGGCCTGCCAGGCAATAACAAGCAATGGCCTGTGCTTCGGTACAGGGTTGTTCATCTCTCCAGGGTAGGCAATGCTGAGAATCCTGTAGGTGGCTTCAGCAGTGAATGAGCAGGGGCTCCCATGGGTAAGCTCAGCCTGGAAATAGCTTTGAAAGGCAAGTGCACACCACGCGTTTCCTCTTTTCCCTCCTTTTCTTAATTCTGGGTCTGTGTTTTCATAGATCGCTAGCAATTCCTTCAGAGGGGGTCAGCTATTGTTATGTCTACCAGAAGTGATGCCAAAACTAGACACATCCCTTGACACAAGGACCAGAGCTCGAGCCATGATGGGTACAATATACTCAATAACGGAAGAAGACACAAGGGAGTACGAAGGGGAGAGAAAGTGAGGAGAGTTGGCAGGGGCCGTTGACGGCTCTTTCGGGGTCTGTGCTATGTAAAGATTCCCCGTAAAATGTTAGCCTTAACCACTAATGACTTCAGTATTTTTCATCCTGAGCAAGATCATCATTGCACAATCCTTGATGTCTTCATGTTTAGGCAAAGAGATTCAGCAGTCTTGGATGTTGTCACAAACTCCAGCAGCTGTCATGATGGTTGACGTTTACCGTTTGACCAATTTGAGCTAAGAAATCTTTAGCCCAGCCACGCATAATTCTATAGCAAACAATGCCATTATTTTAAAGATGAAGCAAAGGGGCTTGGGATGTAGCTCAGCGGCACAGCGTCTGCCTGGCAAGCACGAGGTCGTGAGTTTGATTCCAGGTACCAGAAAAAAATAAATAAAAAATAAAGATGAAGGAAAAAAAATTTTTTTTTCAGTCATGTCCCCAGCACTGGATTACGGGAATCATTGATGTTTCATTGAAATCCAATGACAGTTTTGCAATATTTCGTGTGACCAATTTCAGCCTGTTGGTCATAGGCCTTTCTATATGTCCATAGTTCTCATATGAAGGCGCAGAGGGATTACATTATGCTCATCACTTTTAAATGTATTTAGTGGTACTGTAGTGGGAAAATTTTTAAAACTATAGTTTCATAATTGGGCCATCAGACTCAGTGGGCCTTGGCAACCCAGTTCTAATTTAGAGATAATGGACTCTATCTGTCCAGATGCACAATAGTCTACACAAATATTGTTTTGCTAGTCTGCTTCAAGAGGCAAGGTAGCCCTGTGAAGATCATGCTAAATCTTGCCCCCTTGTCTGGGACCCTGACTCCCTGCTCCCAAACCTTCCTGTTCCATGATAAATGGCTCCCTCTGATTAAATCTGCTCGGCGCACATCCACCTGACAACATATGACTGAATATACGTAGCCAATTATAAACTAACCTGTGTATGTAACCAATTATAGACTAACCCATTATAGACTGTACTTCCTGCTTACAAAAAAAAGTAGTTTCTAATTTTTGTATTATTTTTTATTCTCTTTAAAATAAAATAAAAGAATCATGTAAGTTGCTGTTTTACTTTAAGGCGATGCTGAGAGATCCCACATCAGCCTACTGGAGTGAATAAAAGCTGCCTTCCAACTCCCTGTTGCAAAGTGTTTTCCATCTGGTTTGCTACAGTTTCTGCAACAGCACCATGGATGATGGACACAGTTTCTGGTAAACTGCAGCCATTCTTGTGTCTTCTACTCTAACTTAATCTGTTCATATGTGTGACAATCCATGGTGAAGCTAAATAGACCCCTACCGTTACTGCTTTGGTAAAAGCAAACTAGATGAATTAAAGCCAGTGCATGGGGTGAGTGGGTTGGAATAATTCTCTTAAACCTTCAAATAGGCCCACGCTTGTTTGTTTTTGTTTTTCCTAGTGCTGGGACTCAGCAAAAGCTCCCCACTGACCCCCGACGCAAGTCCTGTGGCTGTGCTTTATCTTTAACTTTATCTTTAAATATTCCCAACAGACAGTGTGTTCTCACTCTTAACAAATCAGTTTTACAAGTTACTTGAGAAATGACCTAGACAGCAAGCTTCCCTAGAGATTGCATCCCTTAACCCAGAAACTCAAGCAATTTTTACTTGGAAAAAAAAGAACAACACAGGGAGTTGAATGATTAGTTGAGCTCTGGGAACCAAGATGAAGGTCATTTTGTTTGTTTACAATTTTAATGTACTGCATTGGAAAGACAAACCTCTGTTATATTATCGTTTTTAAGTTTTAAATATACTTATACTTAGGTGTAATGTTTATCAGATACGCTCTTTGATTCTATGAGAAAAGGAATGTTTATGTTTTTTGTGGGGTGCTGGTCTGTCACTAAACATGGCCACACCTCCAGGGTGGCCTCCTTGAGAGTCCTGCTGCTACCCTAGCTGTGGCTTCCTACAGGCCCTCCCTGCCCACCCAGGGTTCACCCGGGACCAGATGAGGACAGAAAGCAGGAAGGCTGTCTTGCCCCACACCCGGAATTCCAACAACAGCATGACTAATTCGTAGTGCCATTTCATCTTTTCTCAATTCTTTCAGCTGAAAAGAACACGTCTTAAAGTTGACTCTTTTTGTGTGTGTTTAGCTGATAAAAACAGATTGCTGTTTAAATACAGGGAATGCTCTTTTCTAAGTGAATAGGGTAACCGCTTCTTTGATGAAAACATGAAATTTTGACACATTGCTTTTTAAGAATCTATTATCTGACTTAAGTCCGTGAACCTGGGCTCCAAGGAAAGAATTTCTCTTCCCGGTTTATTGACACCAAGCCATTGGCATCGGCTCTTCTACCAAGTCCATGGAAGAGGAGCATTGACAGAAGTGAAAGATTTGATGCAAGGAGAGACAGCATGGCTCTCACATTATTCTTTTATTAGTGTCACGGAGGCACAGAATAAAGACCTTCCCAGTGGGGCTATGGTGCACGGGCCTGGCTTGTTTTGATCATTTTCTCTCTCTCCTCTTCACGCAGTCCCTGCCCCTTCCCTGTTACTAGAAAACTAACTTCTAGTTTTCTGTCCTCTCTCCTTTGTTTTTGACTTCATTTATATTTGTGTATTTTTAGAGTTCGTATACAAGAGACATGTGATTTCTCACTTTCTAAAGACACAGGTTTTGACCTCCTGGTTCCCAGAGCTTTCACTCCATCTTCTTGTGGGAATCCACAGGAATCCAGGACCCCCTGCACCCTCTCCCTGGCTAATCTAGCAGCTGGAATAGAGCTGAAAAGTGGGAGGAAGCTGGAGCATCTACTGCCTTTCAATCTGAAGTTCCAAATGCGGGTTCATTTCAGACATTCATCTCAAAACAAGCCTTATCTCCTAAGAACACACAACCTAAAAACACAGTCACCTAGTATGATTCATAGCCTCAAAATAAAGCAACTGCATCACAGCTGAAAGTCCATAAGGTAGAATGTAGCAAATACAACACATAGAGTTTTTTAAAATAGAAATTAAGAGATTCCTTTCCTGTGTCTTTTAGGAAGGAAAGAAATCAGAAATAGAGCAAGTGAGCAGGCGCAGTATCCTAGTGTACTGGCTGGACCTATATTTGAGGTACAGAAATGGGCCCCACATGTCCAAGCAGCCCGCTCTCAGCCAGCACTTAAAACAACGAAGAGGATGGCTCCTTCTCCAGCCTTTTCCGGAGCCACAGTGTCACAGGGCATTGGGGGCACAGCCCAAAGTGGGACACAGGGCCCCGGGGGCAAAGCTGGTGAAATTAATATAATAGGAACTATTCTAGGTTCCACATTCCACAGAACAACTCTTTTTTATCAGTAATTCAGATTTAAAGCATTGCCTCCGATATCTCCTTCAAAATCTTGCAGCCTAAAGCCATGCAACTCAGCAGGCAGGAGGAGTGCCTGCGGGTGCATGCTGGGGCCTGTGAGGACACAGTCCTTAGACCCAGGATTCGCTTGGCTGGAAACACACACATGGCTCAGCGAGAAGAGGTCCTAGAGGGTAAGTGTATGTGGAAAGAGCTTTACAACATGAACTCTTGCATCTTGGCTAAGAAAGTGAGTATTGGAAAATCAGTCACAAGGGTAAACAGAGCTCCCGACAAATCTGATCGGTCACTAGAGACACTTCAGCCCCTAGCACTGTTGGCTAAGAACAATACTGCTGCTTACACAATCGGGTTTTGCAATGAACGGTGGAGGTTTCAGGCAAGATGGGCTATAGGGGTTCCCAGGCCCTCTGTGGGTACCACTTGGATGGTCTCAGGGTTGGAAATGAGGCAATGATCATTAACCAGCCAAATGCTAGTTAGCAGAGGCCAAGGCGTCTGTCCTGCCTGAATGCAGCCACCACAGTGCATCTGGGCTGGGCTCTGCGTCCACACTTGCTCTTTTCACACCTCCAAGTAATTCTGTGCTACTGATACGACTTTACAATCATCTAAGAGCAGGGAGCTGGCCCTGCCTGACCCTACAGTTACTTGGTGGCAAGTTTGGGGTTTTGACACATGTGATTTCTTTCTAAGGACTCGTGTTTTGACCACACAGCTCCTGGGCCCCAGAGCCTCCACTCTGTCTTCTTGTGGAAATCCACAGGAATCTGGGATGCCCTGCACCCTGCCCCTGGCTAATCTAGCAGCTGGAATAGAGCTGGAAAGTGGGAGGAAGCTGGAGCATCAACTGCCAGGTCAGGGATTTTTTTTTTTTTTTTAACAATGTCATGTGACTTTTCTTCAAAAAGAAAGAGCTGATCTTTCTATGGACTGAATTTTCAGAGCATCTTCACCATATAATATTTGTCTTATGTCACGGTACTTTATGAGATATGCAGAGTAGATACTACCTGTCACTACTCTCAGAGAGGAAAGCATGGTTGAGACCAGAAGGGGCTTTCCTGGGACCACACTCCAGTTTACTGGGAGATTCAGATTCTCTTCTACTTCTGATCTGGGACTTTATAACCTAAAATCGTTGTTCCTTGGTATTCAGAGGGATAGGGCTGGGACCTTCCCAGACACTGGAATTCAGAGACACT